TCTTGCAACTTACTTTCTCCTTTGTATACCAACTTCAAGAATTATTTTTTATCTCTGTACAGCTAATGGTCACAAAAATCAATTAGGCACAATAATACTAGATCACTTTTTTGTCTGCTATAAATATATAATAAATAAATGAAACATATTTAATTAATATTTTTAAGCATTCAGTTGAAGTGAATAGGCAGTAAATTACTGAACTATGACATTTATAAACAACTTGCAACCTGCAGCACAGGCAAAACCTGAATATTATAACAGAATACTTTTGTAAACCTCTATTCTACAACACTTCCTAACATTTGTGTGATTTTAGAATTAACAAGACTTAGTTTTTAACTTTGTTGAAAGTTTTTAACACTTGCAGATTATGTTCAAGGAGCCAGAATACTTTCCAAGTATGAAAAAATAAGAAGCAGAGAAAAGAATTTCCTGACCTTTCTAACAACAAATAATTGGATACAAATCTTAGTTTGAAGTACGGCAGTGATCAATCAATTGCCTTGATCATCAGAATTTTTCTGAGACACCTGGAAATACAAAGCTCCACCGGAATTCTCTGGGTGACATTCTGGTCTGTATAGATGTCCCCTGACAAACAGCCATACTTGTTTAAGTCAGTATTACATAGCTTTCAATATTTTCATTCAGTTAATAGAAAAAAAAAGTATAAAGTTTGTTTGTGTCTTTTACTTCCTATGTGCAAATTAATTTTAAAAAATCTCAGCCAGTCATATAAAATGTAAATATATTTCAGGAATTGTCTCCATAGAACAGCAGGAGTTACAGAAAACTGCACATCTGTAGGTTCACAGTATGAATGCAAAGAAAAGGCCAACACACAGCCTCAAAATAAGATTAAGAAGCAAGGAGATTCATATACTGCAACACTAATATTATTTTATTCAGATATTACTTATCTGCTATTTTACTATTTATTTTCAAACCTATTTTCAGTTCAGAGATGAAGCATTGCTCTCTTAAGTCAGCTGGCTTGGCTTCTCTCAGACCAGTGGATTCTGAAAATTCACCTTACTACCTTAAAGCAATTCTTGCCTTTCCCTCTTCAGCTCCCTGGACCATCAGGTGCAGGCAGCACCTCCTTCACATCCTGGCCCAGTGAGAGGATACAACAGGCAAGCAAAGGATGAGGGAAAAGCTGTGATCTGGACCCCACTTTACCAGGGAATTGTCGCACTTCTCCTTTGCTCACATGGCTAGAATGCTTACAACACACCTCCAAAATTGCAGTCAAGCTTGGAACTGCATCACGTTCAGGAGGAAACAACATATGGGAAAGCTCCTTGGAGCTCTTACAAGCTGCACTTTGGGAAAGTGCAGCCAGCTGAAGCAAACTGTAAATGGGCCAAAGTAAATGGGCCAAAGCCCCATGTGAAGCCCATAAGAAGTGGAGCAGGGGTAGGCCCAGCCTGTCTTTTTACTCCTAAGAGAGCAGCATGTACCCATTTATCAGATTTTAACCAAAAATATTGCAAAAGCAATGCAGTTGTACAGGTCAGGGAAGGGCACTGCCATGCTTCTGTTGTGTAGCCCAGGGATCAGGGTTTGGGAGCTCTAAACCAGAGTTTACAGGACATTAGGCTCTACTCCTTGCTCTGATGTCCAGGCAACAAACAGAAATGTGGATGCATACACCTACAAGTGAGAGCCTATGTATAGACATGTACATATATTCCACCACATCAGCAAGATGTTTGAGCAAAATAACACTATTCATCCTTAAAACCCCCCAGAGCTGTACTACCTCATATAAGGTACCTCCACAAGCATTCAGTATAAAAACAAACACTAGAATTTTTAAATAATTAATGCAAAAAGCTGGCAAGCACTTCCTGCACTCACTGAGGCAGGCGCAGTCTGAGGGGCTGGAATGTGCCAATTAGTGCATCTTGGGGCAATCAGTGTGCTGGGGCTCCTCACAGGGCTGGGTGCTTCCAGAGGACTCAGGTGACCAGAAACCACAACACAGGGCCAGAGGTTACAGCACGGTGAACATCAGGCAACAAAAGACAATACTGATAAACAGGTCTGTGACTCTTGAGCTTACATCAAAACAGATGGACTTTGGATACTCAAGGACAAGCGCTTCTTTACTCAGTTCTAACCAAACTGAAAGATTTTGCTTCCCTCTACATCTGTGTCGCAGATAGAGCTCTATGGCACATGATATGCATTGAATCCAAACCAAAAATAATGTTTATTTGGATGACAGAAGTGAAAGCAGTGGCTTGCCATTTAGCCTGACTTCAGTGCTGTCCTGGATCACCAAGCAAATTGTATTCTATTTGTCATCTGTACAGCAGCTGTCTTCTGTTAATTTTTCCTTATCTCTTCCACAACCACTCCTCCCTCTGGGGACACTCTTTCCAAACCAAGACAAGTGCCTTTTTATCTGTGTGCTACCCTTCACCTCATTGTCCACACCACCAGCAATAACCTGAAGCATTGTTTTGCCTTCCTGATATTTATTGCAGATGAAGGCAAAGCAAGACTGCACAGTCAAATATACCTCCAGGCAATTAAAATAAACAACTTTCTGGACATAATGTGGATGGACCTTTTCTGGGGAAAACAATTCTGGCTAACATGTGCATTTGAATTTGACTCAGACAGATTCTTCAAGGTGATACAAATGTTGAAATAAATCTCTACAAGTTTGGTAGCTGTGGAAAATGTCTTTGAACAGACAGGACAGCCTGGCTCCAGTTGAGTTTTGACACCTGCTTTGGAATGGTGGTGGTTATGAGATAATCATGACATCACAAAAAGTTAAATTCCTGACTGAAATTTCCTTCACATCTTAGATATCCACATTCTTAAGGTGTTAGCTGTGGCAACATTAAAAAATCCCCATTTTTCTACTATAAAAATCTCAATTAATTATAGAACAGAAAAAATAAAACTAAGACTGCAGTATATAATTAGAACTGCTACCAACATAGTGCTATATATCTGTAAAAACCTGGGTTCATATGGCATAATTACAATGTATGCCACATCTTTATTTATCGTATGAAAATACCTGTTTCAGTCACAGGGATTTTTTTTCTTTTGGGTTTTTTCCCTCTTGTTTTTAGCTTTAGTGTTCTTTTTTTGAAGGTGGAAAGACATGCCAACAAATCCTCCCCTGGTTTTGGTGACTTTTTTGGCTGCAATACAGAAGTTACATTTATTCTTGTCAGCATTTTAGCATGATGATATTGTTGCTTTTTGTTAAGCAACTTTCTATTAATTCAAATAATCCCCTGCTAACCAAGCACAAATACTGCTGTGCCCATGGTTTGAAGGGTTCTACAAACAGATTTTCAAAACAATCATGACACACAGTGCCCACCAGCTTTGCCAGTTTGTATCTGGGATGCCCCTGTCAATCAAAAAACCCAAAAAACCTCTTCAAATGCTAGACAAGGCATTTTCCCTGAGTGCATTCTAGGAATTCCTTACATAAGCTGCTACTTAGCACAGTCCATAAAGTATATTTATACTCTTACAGGTGTATGAGTTTTGATCATTTCCTCTGTCTCTGTAATTATATAAAAGCTATTATGCTTCATGATTTGGAGTTAAACAAGTCTTTCACTTCCAACCTGAATCCAGGCAGTCTTTATAAATCTTATGCCAGAAAAGTCTAGTTCTCCCCTTATGTATGATTTTTTTAAAAATTAATGGATATGTGTCAACTGATCAAAAAGAGAAAAAGGTTGGCTGAAATATTTGAATATGCTCTATGAAATGAAAGGAATTTATGCTCCTACCAGATAAACCAAAGATTGTGTTTCTTTGAAGGTGATATTTTCATATATATCTGCACTGCAGGCCTTATTGACCCATTCATTTACGACACTTATGATAAGTTATGATAAGTCATTTTAATAGTAGACTTACTTTCACCTTCCCCACAGCTTATCCTTCATAAATAACTGACTTCAGATATGCTCAAACATCCTTATGGATCATGTTTTGCACTGGGTTCTGTTTAAACTGTCTTTCCAAATCAAACAAATCCTGCTAAAAGGAAATGTCTCCGCACACAGCACAATGGAAGGAACTCACCCAACTGCAATCTTAACTAGTAGCAGAGTGAAACTTCTGAAGGCAAATCCTATTTCCCACAGTATTATTTAACCTATAAAAGCAGGGAATATAGAAGCAGAGGCCAAACTCATTATTTCTACTTCCTTCTCGGGACAACATTCCCAATTAGATTCAAGCTGAGTGATTTTGTTTATTGAGAATACTGAAATTTGATCTCAGGCTGCTACTGCCATATGAAAGAGGTTTTTAAAAATTATTTTTTGCTTATGTTTTTATAAAGTGCTTCAAAGGGGAGAAGTGTGTTATTTTTTTCTCCTCCTACTGAAAGCAAATCAAAGTGCCTTGAGCTACATTTTACTGTTTATACACAAGCATTAAACTGCCAGGATATAGCATGAATAGAACATCTGAAAACAACTTTCAGAACATTGCAACATTTCATAAAAAGACCAATGCACTAACTATAAATCACACTTAATAGAATACCAGTACATTTTCAGGTTCTCAGATAATACGGGTTGAGAGGAAAAAATTAATGGCCTTTGTGTGCATAAAAACTGCACAATAAAGTTCATTTGTGAACATAAAATAGCATCTGTTATTTGTACTGAAATGTTTTCTATGATCTGAGCTCAGATCACAATTTAAATCTGATAGACAGCATTTATGCCCCATCTTTATGTTACTTTATGTAATAAGAAATGCTATAAATTTTAACTGAACCATTAATGTCTGCTTTTCAACTTGTGATGGACTTAAAAGTCTACAAATATACATGAAGAAAGGTATAATAGCAAACTTTTTGAAAAAAATGAGTGAAGGATCTGAAGTCCTAACTCCTGATTCTGTTTTCCTGTGAATTTTAAGAGAAGTCTGAGGTTTAGCAAACTTTATCAATTTCTCAGTTCATGATGAAACCCATTATGGTTATGGTAACTCACCCTCTTCTGCTCTTTAATATACTCCATCAATTCCTCTGTTGTCCTTTTTACTGCTTCTTCGACTGCCTTTTCACTTCGTTTCTGCTCCTCCATTAATGCTTCCTTGACAATTTCCTTTCCAAAAGAAAAGCATGTAAGTGTATATGAAAAAAAAAAGTCACAAATGTGATAAAAGGTCCTCCCTTTTCCTCCTGCTAAATTTTTATTGCCACTATACTCTTTTCCCAGTTATAGTTATCCTAAATGTATGCAGTATCTTCATAAAAATTGATAAATTCAGTATTAAAGAGCAAATAAGAGAGAGAGAAAAAAAAGAGATAAATAATCAATTTAAAGCTATATTAACAGAAATACAATGTTCCCTGAGAGCTGAATATAATAAAGCAATTCAGGTTTTACCTTCCATCAGGAGTAGGGATGGCAGGGATTTACCAGGTGCTGTTATCAGGCCAGACAACTTCAACTGGAAGAGACCTACAAGATCATCTGCTCCAGCTGCCTGAGCCCTTCAGGCCCAAGAATTAAATTATTAAGGGATTCTCCAAAAGCCTCTGAAACACTGACAGTCTTAGGGCATGAGCAGCTTTCTCTGGAAGCCTCTCCCAGTGTCTGACCACCCTCTTCTAAAGAAGAGTTTCACAGTGTCCAGTCTGAACCTCCCCTGATGCCATTTTGAACCAAAGTCGGTTTCTAACCTGTGATACAAGTCATCAAAGCTTCATGTAAACTTATACAAAAACTTGTCAAAATTGTTAATTTGCTTCCAAACTTTGGGAATTTCCAGGGACATTCTGTACACAGCAGTAAAAAGCAGCAAAAGATGCCCACCCACTCCCCTAAATTAGCATTACCCTCCATCAAATGCATCACAGTAGAGAATGCCAGGAACCACTTCCTAAGCATCCCTATCACCTGCAGTATTTGGTTAAGGAAGCAAATTGCTGGGCTAAAGTCACTGTCCCAAAACTGAAGTCCCAGCTTCCCAAAGCCAAGCATGGAATAAGTAAAGACATTATTAATCCAAGTGTTCTGTTTCCAAGATTCAGGAGAACAAAATGACAAGACTCAGATTCCTATAAATCCTGAAAATGCAACATTTTCAGAAAGCAAAAACAGCACCCAGTAAAAGTAATCACATGATCTTAAATGATTTTTCAGGGAGATCAAGAGGAAGATGGAGAGTGCCTCAGAAATTAGAGAGAAATTGGCAATTCCTATGCCTTTGTTCTAGACATTCCAAATTCAAAGAAACAGAAACTCTAGTGGTGCACCTGAAGAATTAAGCAGGAAATGGAAAAAAACTTCAGTGGTTCAAACAGGAACACGACATGACTTGTAGTGTATTTATTCACATACATGACTTATGATTTTTTAAAATTTTTAAATCAAAACTTTTAGAAAATCAAAGGTAAATATAAATGGATTCCTTATTACTCTTCACTGGTTAGACATAACACTGCATTACCCACAGATTTGTTTACAGGTTTGCTTGACTGCAGAGTAATACAGACTTTTTATAATACTTATTTACAACTTGGATTTGGGGGAGTAGGGAAGGTTGGCTGGAGGACAGGTGGAGTTCTAAGGTTTTGGAAATAGAAGATATTTATGAAGTTGCATAATTCATCTGTACATTTAAGAGTGGCATTTTACAATATGCTATTAGTGTACAAAATGAATAATCCACCAAATTGGATCAAACTTTTTTTTTTCTTTTTTTAAAGTCCCTTCAGTGGAAGTTATTCAACTGAAAAAGAAAGCTCTATTTCTTACCTTTAGTTGTTTGCTCTATTTCAGCCAAAATGGAATAGTTTCTGCAAAACTACACTTTTGCTATTTTTATAGCAGAAAAAGTCTAAAATCCCAAATTTAAAATGTGTAACTATGTAGTCCCCACTGTTCTGGAATGCAGTACACATGAAAATCAGTTGTGAAAAGTGATTATGATTTTTTTCTGTTTTAATTCAGTTTACCAAAGAAAAATCCTGAGAAAAAGGTTTCTTTCACTACAGAACTCTGGCAAGACTAACAGAAAAAGTAGCAGAAAATTACATATTACAGAAATATGCTGCTCTTATAATTATATTCTCATGCCAGTTTAATTTGTCAAAAGGTCCCAAAATACTGTCTTGTGTTAGAATGGAAAAAAATCCCATAACTTATCCCATTAATCTCTTCAAAGCAAATTACAGAACTGATAAACTGCTATATCTTAATGTCTAGAAAATTTTACACCCATAAAACACTTACAATCAATTGAAGTATGTTAAGTATCCTTGATAAGATACTTGAAACACTACATAGTCCAAATAAGTATTTGGGCTATAAAGTACAAATAAAAACATAATTAAATTCTACAAGTCTATTAATAAAATGGAAGAAAACAGAAACCAGTAGCAATACCCTTATGGTACAACACTGGTTCATTACACTGACATTAAAACAGAAAAAGTAAAATTGGAAAGAATTATTTTTCATTTCTGCTGGTACTGGCACAAGTCTCCAGGGCTGTGGTTAAATCACCATCCCTGGAAGTATTTAAAAAATGTGTAGGTGTGGCACTTGGGGACATGAGTTAATGGTGGCCTCTGCAGTGTGAGGTTAAGGGACTCAATGATCTTAAGGGTCTTTTCCAACCTAAGTGACTATGATTCATCTACCACATTCTAGTTAACCACATTAAGTGCTGATGCATCTTCCCAATTTATAAACAATTCTCTCTTTCAGACACTGATCACCTCCTGTTACCACCTGAGAATCATCTCAACACTTACTGTCACCAGACAGATCCTGTAGCCACCAGACAGGACAATCTCATGTGACTGCACAAAAAGACTCCTGCTTTAGTGGACTTCATCCCAGCGTTTGGATTTAGCAGACTGCTGGCAGCTGTCCACAACACTTTTCATTTGTTGGGGTTTTTCTGTGATTATTCACAGGATGAATCATACAGATCCGTTTCTCTGAGATCCCAATATCTGTTTCTCATCTGAGCTGAAATGTTACCCCGCTGACTGGTTTCAGGAGAAATGAAACAGTGCCATAAAATACACAGCTTTCTTCAGAGGTCATGTCTTAAAAACCAGCCCCTACAACCTCTGACAATGCTCCTGGTTTGCACTGTCCCATACCTGCAGTTCAAAATGGGCAAACACAGAGTCCTGTGAAACTACGACACTCGAGACTGTCAAAAGACAGCTTTGCTGTGATATCAATAAATGGAAAGAAAACTCTTTTATCCCTTGCACTCAGTTCATAAGTCTTCAAAGAGCAAACACTGGACAACAGCTCCCTAGTCAACTCAGTCATAGCCTTTTGATCTTAATCATTGATAATAGTTTTTCCTTCTGTGACAAGAATCCTCACTTCTTTTATACAACCTTCCACTAAGTGCTCTCCTCTAGGTACTCAGTTACTGTCTGTCTTTGCTCTATTTCTGCCATTAGAGCAAATTATCAACTAATATAAAGGTATTTAAATTCAGATATCACCTATTACTGTTGAACAAAGCCTTAGCTGCAGGTACATTCTCTCAGCACGTGTCTACTTTTCCTTCATCTCTTTGCTCTTTCCTCTAATGCTATATCTACCTTTAGACACTATCCTAACTTAGATTTTGGTTGCAAAGGTAAAAATTGGCCTTTATTTCATCTTTAACTAGAAAGGGTAGAGTGTTATTTGAGCCTCTTAGTGCTATTTTAATGGACTCAAGAAAATGGAAAAACCCAGTTTCCTGTAAGAAGGTAAGGAAGAACACTCCACAAAGTGGCACTTGAGGTGCAATTCCTCTCTCTCCTCCCCTTATTTTTTTTTACATATTTGATCAGTGGCTGGAGTACCAAATTATAGTCAAAAAGTTGGCTTCGTTACGTGACTCTCTATACATGTGCTTGACATGACACCAGTTAGAAGATTAAGAATACCTAATCAAAAATAAAAACAGATATTCAAATACTCAATTGACAAATCACAGTCAACCACGTATTAGAAATGACAACCACACAATCACAACATATAAATGTGTACGAAGACAGAAAGAAAAAGCAGTGTGCTCGATACACCAGAGAACTCCAGACAGTATTTAAAAAATAAAACAAGCCATATGTTGCTTTGCAATTTTATAGGAAAATTCTTTTGTTTCCACACAAGGATCAGGTGGCAGTACTAAACTTTATCTAGGAAATGCAACCACAGACTGCAATGTTAGTGGTTTTTCAGAAAATAGTAACCCTCAAATTATAATGTCTGTGGTTACAAACTACTACAATCTACTTCTGAACTCAGACATGGTTAAGGTCTGTGTGCTGTGAACTATTCCTTTTCCAGACTTTGCAAGCATATTAAAAATAAACTCATCTAATGGCAGGGATCTCTTTCCACTCAGTCCTGCTGAGTTGTGTCCTTCCTCACACATTCAAGATTACACAGAATTTTCTTTCAATGTGTCTCCACAAACACTGGCCACACTAATGTTTCTGCTAGATGGTTGAAAAACAAGAAGTAAAACTGAAAATGATGGTTTGCTACCTTCTTGAGAGAAATGTAAGCACACACTCCCACTGGAAGCTGAGCAATAAAGGCAAGAGGAAGAGGAGAAGAGCTCCTTTGAGGAGCAAGTTCTTCTCCAGCATTGTGTGATACCATGTTATCAACAGACAATTAGTTAGGTATTGGGATTTAGAGGAAAAAACCCCCAACAACTTGTACAAGTCCACAAAATACTGAACATAAAGAGCAATGTTACAACAAGCCTGTTACTGAAAAACCATTTTGTCTTCCAAAGATTAGCACTGACCCACCCAATCAAAATCCTATGGGGTTGGAAAAAGTTATTTCTGAAAATACATTAAAAAATATGCCACTTTGCTAAGTACTTCAGAAACAGAATAGAGGGAATATTTCAAATTCTGACTCCTCCACAGGACTCTGCAACCCTTGTAAAAGATGAAAAAAATAACAAGTGGACAAAGAGAGATTGATAAACATAATAGTTTGTATTCCCTTAACTGACAATGCCCTCAAAGCTCTGTATATCATAAATACAAAGAGCTTTGAGGATAAAGAAATTAAATTTCAAGGAAGTTAAATTATTATTATTAATATGTTAAAATTCT